TTTTTGGGGGGTTGAGGTGTGGTTTTTTTTCCTTAATACAACATAAAACCTAATTACAAGTTTACATCACTCTACTTGTAACACAGGCTTAATCTTCACTCCAGTATCCTTGTAACTGACTCATTACTCTTTATTTAAATAATATTTTTAAAAAAATTGCTGGTGTGATTGTAATGCTGATCCAGTAGTGTAAGAAGATGCTGTACAAATAATTTTTACCTTACTGCTTATTTTGCTTGGTTCCTGCTTGCATTAGGCTGGCTTTAGACAACACTTCTAACCCCTTCACTCGCCAGTTCCACTTTTTTGGGGAAAATACTGCAAAGACAACTTGCAGCATGTACCTGGGAATATGTATTTTTCCAAATGTGAAGCCATAACTGGTTTTACCTATTAGATTTTTTTTTACACAGCTGCATTTCTAGAGTCATTGAATTTTGCATAAAAGAACATTCAAAGCATCTACTGATTTGGCCAAATTTTCCCAACATGTGTCAGAAGGAGCTGACTCGATCCCCAAGAGATCTCGGCATGGCTGCACCCATCTTTTATTGTAGTCTGAGCAGCCACTGAGTCACCATTTAAAAAATGCCACAGAACTTTGTTTAAAAACCTTCTGCCTCTCTGACTGGTTATCATCACTTTGCAATTTATTTGTTTTTTATTTGGAACTCAATTTTCTGTCATTATTCTCTTCCCCAAAGCACATTTTTGTTACAAGCACAGGTAATGAAGTCTTTCAGCAGTGTAAGAATTGCATTTCTGTACTGGAGAAACAAAATGATTCCCACTTACTCTCGTACTGCTCTAAATTCATCCCAAAGGTTCAAAATCCTTTTCAGGATTGTATTGCCGTGGCAACCTGCCAAGGCCAAACACAGGGCAGGGCAAGGAATAGGACTGGATTTGTCCATGCTTTCATTTCATGCATGATTAGATAGACTACACTGACTGGGAGTGCCAGAAGACAAAGGTAAGGCTCCTATTTTGCAATCTACAGCAAACAAGACCGCTGCTCTGTGCGTTATAAACCACTTGTACCTTGTCCATAGGAAGGCCCACAACCCTGTGTGAGACCATGGGGAAAGCTGAGATATGGTTAATCAGAACATACTGGGATTTTGAATTTCCACGCCCCTTCTTGCCCAACTTTGAGTTCGTTGGAGGACTTCACTGTCAACCTGCAAAGCCGTTACCAAAGGTATCCCAACTTTCTTCGGCCGTTGCTTGGTTGCTTGCTCAGTAGAACAAAACCTGTTTCACTCCCTGATCAGCTGTGCAAGCCATGTCCTGAGAAAGCTCATTCTGAAAGAAGATGCTTTGCTACCACTTTGGGGCATGGAGCTATTGAGCAATCCATCCCTTCTCGTGCAAACAAAGGGCTGCGTTTACAGCTTCCTGTCTTAAAATCAGCAGGAAGGAATATAGTGTTTGGTTCATGAAAAACAGGTGGTACCTCAGAGGAGTTGAATGTAACATGTAATTGTAAGATACAGACTTGCAGCCCATGATAATATTGAAATAGCTGATGCAAAAAGGCACTGTGGCGGGACAAATTCTTTAGACAAAATGGAGCCAAGACTTGTAGAAAAAGACGAGTGATAAATGCTTTTTCTATTGTTGCTTAGATTAAGACATCTTAAGGGGAGTAAAATACTCAGCATCTCCAGCCTATGCTCTGCTGTGACTGGCAATATTCAGCTGGAATTTGAAACTCCCAGATACCGATGACAGCAACACAACAACCTCTAGTCTAGATTATTGCTCCTGTAGGAGGCTTAGAGGAGGAAGAATAATTTCAGTGCAAGATGTCTACTAAAAGAAACCTTTTGTCTTCCCACTCCCCTGTAGCAGGGGTGGAGTTGGAGGAAGTGGCTAACCATTCCCTTTCCGGTGTTATTGCTCCATTTCACATGACGCCAACTAAAAGAAGGAACAGGGGGACCTGCTGGTCCGCTTTGCAGAAGATCTGTTTAGCAACATCTGCTGTATTGCAAGAAATGGATGACTACAAAGTGACATCAGTGACTCAACAAATCTCTGATCTGGATGCCGAAAATCCCTGTCAGTTTTCAGCACTGCCCCGTCCTGCAGAGCTGTGAAATGCAAAGTACTTGTTCCAGGAAATTCCAGAACTGTGACTGACTATGCTAAGGAGAGTGTCACAGGCTATGGCTCTCTCACGCCAGTGCAAGGATCCGTTCCTGCTGCTTGTGCTCTGAAAGAAAGGTGTCCTGAAACTGCTTGCCTTAATTTCAAAAAGATACAAGCTTCTGCCACCTGTCTCAACTGGTCCTGCTCCTTCTTGGGGAGAAACTCTGTGTTGCACAGGGCCAGGTCTATCTTTGTAATGCCTTTCTGCTTCTGCAGTGGAGCTGCTCATATATTACGGATAAGCTCTCACGCCAGTGCAAGGATCCGTTCCTGCTGCTTGTGCTCTGAAAGAAAGGTGTCCTGAAACTGCTTGCCTTAATTTCAAAAAGATACAAGCTTCTGCCACCTGTCTCAACTGGTCCTGCTCCTTCTTGGGGAGAAACTCTGTGTTGCACAGGGTGCAGTGGAGCTGCTCGTATATCACGGATAAGCTAAAAAGTTTACACTCTCTGTTCACAGAAATCTGTGTAATCTGCAGTGCGTGATTGGTATGTTTTCTCCCTCTAACAGGAAATGGAAGAATTTGTTCAGAGCTCAGGGGAACATGGAATCGTGGTATTCTCTCTGGGGTCGATGGTCTACAACCTAAGTGATGAGAAAAGTAATATGATTGCCAAAGGCCTCAGCCAAATTCCACAAAAGGTGAATTTTGAGTCTAAACCAACTTGTCGTGTCTTTTGCCACTCCCCTTGCCTTCAGCAGGTCTTTTACATCTGGACTGGCCTGGTTTTTATCTGGTGGATGTATCACAGCGGGCAAGTTGCGCTCTGTAGAGTGGCAGATTGCCAAGTCACCTCATGGGGAGTTCTGGCATTTCTCTTCTCTTAACCAAATGACATGGGGGTGTGCCCACTGGCCAAAATACACAAATCACTCAATGAGAATTTTACAATAAGCACATAATAACTAACCAGAGAGCTAAATTCAAAGCTATTTGAATGACTCGGAAAAGGTACATAGGTTTGAGACAAAGCCCTGCATTACATGTAGTAGTACAGAAGGGCACATCACATGCCCCATGTTTATCTTACTCTTCCTCTGTTCAAGGTCCTTTGGCGGTACAAAGGGAAAAAACCAGAGGCTCTGGGCTCCAACACCAGGATTTATGACTGGTTACCCCAAAATGACCTGCTTGGTAAGACTCATTCTGTCTGGGATGCTTTCAGCCTCTGGAAAAACTTTTTCCTTCTTTATTTTTCCACTAAAATGGCTTATTTAGCCAAAAGAGCCATGTTAACACTTGTGGCTACAATTAGCTTTGCCGCTTAAGCAGGAAAGGTTTGCTTTTGGAACCCTCATTTCCTAGCCTGCTTTTGACTGAGTGAGTGGCTGTACAAGAACCATGGAAGGTATAACCAGGCTGTGAAGGGAGCAGGGAGCAGTGGCTCAAGTGGGCAGCAACCTGAGCTTAGCTATAAAGGTGGAGCTCTAAAGCAAAAGCCTCTGTCTTGCAGAGGTCAGTGGCAATTGTCCAGAAGGGCTAAGAACCACCTGGAGGCAGAAGTAAATGTAAAAGTTGACATGTACTCTGGAGCTCTTTCTTCAAAACGCTTGACTTACTT